AAANATNAAGAACACGACGCCTACAAGAACGCCCCGCACACGACGAACGGATTATCCAAATCCAAATCGGAAAACGGTACTGAAAACTAGACAGGACAAGCTACACGTCGGCATGCGGATCGTCTCCAGACTCTTTCTGGTTCGACGGGAATCTTCCCTCTAAGTGGACTGATCGCAGCAGAAAACTGCAGAAACCTACCCAGTTAAAACGATCATAACTCACTAAATACTCAACCCATTGACGAACGGTTTTCACCCACATAAAGAAAAAAGATTGGAGAACTTACCCACAAAATTTTACTCCGATCCGACCTGATATGCCTAGCCGTTCGTCTCCTCCAAAAATCACCTAAACCGAATTAGGATTTCAGAAGACAGGAACGATACACGGACTTTGAAAGCACACCGAGAACGGATAATACCTCAGAATCAAGATCAGNAACCTGATTTAGAAACTAGACAAAGAGAGCTTTCTAAAGATAGGCTGATCGTCTCCTAAGTCGTTTTGGTTCGATCGGAAAGTCTTTCCGAAGCCGACTGATCGCAGCAACAAGTCTGCACAACCCTATCGAGTTGAAACAGCCATAACTCAACGAATATTCAACGAAATGACAAACGGATTTCGCCCATATCAAGACCAGAGATCGGAGAACTTATCCTCAAAGTTTCACCCTAATCCTCCTCGAATTNCCNANCCGTTTNCCCTCTCAAACACTCGAACANAAGCTGTCCTTCACCCTCAATCACACACAACTCACAACCTCTCTTGATTCTCTATCGATTTCTCTTCTGTCTCTGATTTTCGGCCAAAATGAGACCAACACGCGTCTGTTCCAACCCTTTTATACAAACCCTAGTGCCCCCTAAACCGCTCCCCAAACCGGCAAATCAGAAACCGAGACCGTCGGTCTGATTTTACTCTGTGGATCGACACACATGCCCAAAAAAATCCCCTTTTTGGTTCACGGGCGTCACATATCCTATGCGTACCTTCCTGCGATAGTCCAAGGGAAAATGAGGGTGGGGTAAAGAAGTGTCCTAGACGATGTCTCTGGAAAAAACAATGTCAATATATAATAACTTATAAGAAGTATGTAAATGAAAAATAAACAATCTAACCTCTGTGTCAGATTCCGGAACCCCTCCATCAGCAGCATGATTTTCCCCTACTTCAGAACAATTCCACCAACAAAACCTTTTTCAACAGTTCGATCACCCTATAAAGTACCGTATGCTAAGTTTTCATCAATTAGGAAACAAACTTATAAAAAAAATAAGCATTAAGTTAGACGGTTAAAAGTTACCTTGGTCTGCGGATGATTCCCATCCAACACAACAGGTTCAACGTTTTTCCTCTTTACAATATTGCTATTGCTCCTTTCTACACGAACATTAGTAGTGCCTCCAGTGATCCCTACCGACTTGTCCAAAAAAGCATTGATCCCATTAATAACTTCAGATTTCATCTTCTCCATTCCCTGAGCAATTTCAGCAGTTATGTCTGCTTCCAAAATAGTAAAAGCTGATTTAAGGTCTTGCAATTGACTACTAGAGTCATCAACCTTCATTTCCAATCTGTTGATGTCCGCCCTAATTTTCTCATCAACAATATCAACAACTGCACCACAATCACCCTCCACAAAAGAGGCCAAATCAACAGGACGACTGGATTGTGCCCTCAACACATTTCTTCCACTAGATTTCTTCCTTCCCCTCACTTTTTTGCCTTTCACATTGTTATTTTTTTCCTTTGCCTCTTTAATCATACGAAGTACATCAGCCCTTGTTGCCCCTCCAGAGAACATTGAGTTGCAAAATTCGTGTTCCTTATTAATAAGATCCACCATATCATCAACCTTAGGATCATTTGTTTCTTTCTCCCAAGCAAACTCACTCTCATCTACCTCATTCTCACCATCATCAGCAATTATGCTATCAACCACTGTCTGCATAGAAAACAAAGTTAGATAAAGTAATGAAAACATGAAAAAACAAGGATGCATGAAAAAACAAGGATGCATGAATATATATCAATTACTTGAACATGTAACAGCTACAGATAATTTTAACCGGCTAATCAATACTAAATCTGCTACAACAATTACCATTTTATTAAAATAATATATGGCAAGAAGTGAAATATCCAAAATGCTAATTACTAGTTTACTAACCATTGGATCGTTATGCAAGTCCCTTTCATGCTTCGGACTAAGGCTAATCCTCTTACCCGTTGGAGAATCTGATTCACTGTCTCCATCAGATTCAGAAGAAGAAGTTGAATTAACCAGAACAACATCAAGTAAAGCTGGCACGGCTTCAACCATCATTAATTGAAGCGCATGAACAAATCATTTGATCGCAATTGTATCTTGTGATAACGTTATCTCA